ACGCACGCGCGCGGCGCGGCCGCGGGCACGTGTCGAGCGCCGCGCGGCCGCGTTTTCCGCCTCGGTTTGCTGCCTGCGGCCACGACGCGCGCGCGTTCGCCCGCCCAGACCCCCTTCTGCCGCCGCCCCGCCCTGCCGCCCAGGCTTCCTTTTCCGCGATACGACCTTGGTGGAGCGCCTCAAGCGCGAGGGGATGGGCCTCGAAGTCACCCGGGGCTGACCTGGCATGATTTTCACCCACTTCACGCGGCGGCGCCAGTGGCCGCCCCTTGTTGCTGAGGGAAGCGGTGAGGGCAGGCGGGCACGCCGCCTTGCCTCCAACGCGTTGCTCAGCATCGCGGCCGCGGCGACCGCTGCGCTGCTGTGACAGCTGGGTGCCCGTCAGCCCGCAGATCGTTGCGGCAGACCCCTCTCCCATCGCCCCCCTGTGCAGAGAGGTGATCAGGCTCGCTTGCCGGCCGTCGGTTACTCGGCGGTTGTTGGTTTTTTTTGGGTGGGTGGTGTCATGTGTGTTTGGGGGTGTGGAGAGGGGCCGCTCGCTTTTTTGCGCGCGCGGCCTGCCCTAGCCCCTTTCAAGAGAGGGGAGGGCGTGCGACGGTAAATGTATGTTCCCCAATTTGGTTGTGTAAGTATGTTTGCCCCAAATGCTTCCCAGAGGCTCCAACCGGCGATGGCAGCGGGGGCAGGGCCGGGCAGGGCCGGGCGGGGCCCGCCCCCGCGCGCGCGCGCCGAGCCGGGGCCGGACCGCCGCGGCGTTAGGGCTTTTCGGAAACACGCCCAAGAACATCAGCAAGTCGCTGCTCGGCGGGATGCTCGGGTTCGGACGCGAGGGAAGTTTTTTGTTGGGCATATATCAAGAGGCGGCCGGCGTGTCGGCGCGCGCCGCTTTGCGGGCGCGGCGCGGCGCATCGGCGCGCGTCGGCCGGATAAGTGGGGCGTCGTCCGTTGCGGGGCGCGCAGGGGGACGCCGCATGGCGCGTCGGCGCGCGGCCCCCTCCGCGCGCCCCGCGAGCAGTGTTGCGTGCGCGGGGCGCGGGCAAAGCGGCCCCCTCCCCGCTCCGCACCTGGCCCCCGGGGGCCGCGAAAGACAGGGATCAGTGCTGATGGGGTTCCGGCTGGGCGTTGAAAAGTCGATAAGATGCAAGGCGGGGGCCGCGGACGCGTCGTGCGAACAATGTTGCGCACCCCACAGACGGCCGCGCCCCCGGCGGGGGCTCTGGTTGAAGGGTATAGTGTATCATCAATCAAGGGCGAGGGCGTGCAGGCAGGGGGGCTCGGCGCCCGGCGGGCGCGGCGGGCCGGACAGGGCGCAATCGCGAAAAGCGGGTTTCGTCGGGGCCGCAGGCTGCGTACGAGCGCCGCGGCTTGGGCGGAGCAAAGGGTGGGGCCGGCGCCCCTGCCGCGGCAGAGCGGGCGGCCGGCGCGCGCGCCCGCCGGCCCCTGCTTCTTCCCGGGGGCTCGGAAAC